GAAGAGAAGAGAAGAGAAGAGAAGAGAAGAGAAGAGAAGAGAAGAGAAGAGAAGAGAAGAGAAGAGAAGAGAAGAGAAGAGAAGAGAAGAGAAGAAGAGTTTCACATCACAGTGAATGAGCACCGCCTCTACTCTGCAACAATTTTCCTCCAATATCCAGAAATTCACTCATAATAAGCCTTACAGAGTGCTACTTGTTTTATTCCTGGTTTTGGAAGTCCCTGGAACGAAGGTGGGTGCTGGCTGAAACTTTACCTTGAAGATACAAAGCTCTGCTGTAGTGCTGCCCACTCYCCTGCAACACATGCCCTTTTACACAGGTGCCATGTGTCTTAAGATGAGACATGGCAGATGCACAGGCAATTCCACCTTCAATCTGCCTACTGGCATAGAATGGGAAGAACAATAGCACTGGATTGTACAATACTATTGTGAAATTAAAGGCATTGGTGGTGATGACCCACTCAAGTGCTAGGATGTTCCTCTACAGAAGCACTCAAAGAAATTAATCATTTTAGATTTAATTGATGGTTTGGATGGCACACAATAAAAATAAAAGCCCTACTTAGGCTCTCAGCAAACACTGGGGACGAAACACTGAACAGCTGCTTAGGTGCCCAGGCCACAGCTGGGTAAGCACTTTGGTCCATGACACATCCTACCCCTCGCCTGGTCACATTCCCACAGCCCAACCTCTGCTGGGCTCTCACGGGGCTTTTTCTTTGCATGGCCATGTGGTGAGCCAGGCTGAGGGACTGATCCAGGACTAAGAAAAAGCCTCATGAGGATGAAAAAAAAATAAAGGCCAAGTGGTTTCCAGTCCAGTTCATGATCTTATAAAGAGCTGTATCAACACAAGAGAAGAAGGAAGGGTGCTAGAGCAAAAGGGCTGCTGAAGGAGACACTACAGCTAGGATGTTCCTCAGACCAAAGCCAGGATGAGACCACAGGGAAGGAGCTGCAAGTGTGTGATTATGTAATTCAAGGCTAAATCTTAACGGGTATATCCTCAGTAAGGTAGAAAGGACAAACTGTATTGATACAGATAAACGTTAGTTTTAAAGTTAGGCACACCCTGAGCATTTGACTTTAGCAGCCTGTGCTAGTGCTCCTATCACACAACATCTATTATAAAACAGTACTTGTTGTAATGCTATATAATGATCAGATTCTAAATCCATGCAGAACTTCCATCCATACTCCTACCTGCAAGGATCATCCTTGTACCACAGGATTATGTAGACTCCACCACTGACAAAACTAGCTAGAAGTAGCAGATTGTATTCCTARTTTTATTCAAAAGAGATGTAGTAAAAAACTGGTAGATCCTACAGATACTACATTTGGTAGGATTGGTGGAAGTCTAGAATATTTGGGATCCCTATTCATCAACATGGGGATCTTGCAGTCCAGAGCAAAATTTCCACATGCTCAGCTATGCAGAATGAGGTCTCTTCACTAATGTTCCTGAAGTGTGTATAATTCTAGCACCCTTTTAACACTTCTCATTTGTTTAAAAAAAGGGGAAAACAAGTTTCCATTTCTAATCACAACAACTACAGAAATAATGGAAACCGGTTATAGAATTTTAAACAACACAGGCAGTAGTCAAAGAGAGAACAGGACTTCCTCTAAGTCCAGTAGAGAGGAATGTTAATAAGTTTTTTGCTTTTTGTTTTATATCACTAAAGTTTACCTCTCCAAATAGCATTAACCTGTGCCTTTAGCAAGCCAGATGCAGTACTTTAATGTCCTCAGAAACTACTGACTTGGGCTTATCGCTGATTTCACCTCACTACTCAAATTACTCCAAGAAAGTCTTTATTCAGAAAAGCTTCCCTCAAGTTCAACGAAAGTTATGCCCCAGTACAGACTTTCCAAAGAGCCCCTTCTGTGGGAGCAGCGTGTCAGGTTGACAAGACCTAGTAACTCTAGAGAGACTGAATTTACACTGTTGAATTTGCACATGCACTTTCCTGTGGCAGCTCACACACATACACATCCTGCATCCATCCCTAGCAGCTCCCGAGGTTCTTATGCAAGTGGCTCTGCTCTCATTCCCCTGCATCGCASGAGAGAGCCTGTAGCTGCAGGCACTCAGCAGAGAGGAGCGAGAGAAATGATATATTGCAGATATTTTATTTTTGGAAACCACACTGTAAATAAAGCCATTTCCAGAGATATTCCATGGACACGGAGCGCCTGGTCGCAGAGCCAGTGCCTTATGTAACAGAAGGAGCATTGTTTAGGATGCCCTTTTTAGTTTTTTTTTTTTTTTTTTTAACAAGCCACTCCTGGTAACGCAGCTTACAAAGCTATAAAAAGCTAACGGCGTAACTATAGAGAATAAACACGGGAGTAGCTTGTGCTGAAACGGCTCCGGAGAGCTAGGAAGCCCAAGTTGCAGCGAGCCCCCGAACTTTATGTAATTCAGCGCTGAGCGCGGGCGATACTCACGGCGCGCAGAGGGTCCGGCGGCTCTACGGGGCCGCGTGCAGCTCCATGGCCAGGTGCTGAAGACAGCTCTCGGCCAGCCCCCGAGGCACCGCTCCGGCCCCCGGGGCCCTATGTAGCTCCCATTTAACCCAACTTGCTCCTCAGCCTTGACACGTGGCGGCGAAAACAAGATCCCGGCGTCCAGTCGCTCGCTCGTCTTCGGAGCTGTTAGCCGTGGCGGGGAAAAGGGAAAAAAAAAAAAAAAAAAAAAAAAAAAAAAGAGAAAAGAAAGAGTCACGTTAAGAGCAGCGCTCGCTGCAACACGCACTGGCTTCACCCGCGCTCCGAGCGCTGGAAATTTCCACTCCCCTCCGCGGGACTCGGGGCCTCGCTCGCCTCCTCCCCGTGCAGGGGCACTCGTGGGCGCGCRGAGCCCCGTGCCCAGTGCGGCCCTGGCAGCGGCCCCAGGATGCCAGGAGTTGCCAGAGGCGCCGGCCAGTTTCCGCGGCCCCTCGCGGGCCTGGCGGAGGCATCGGCGCGGGGTCCGCGCGGCACCGGCTGCTGGCCCCCAGTTATTCACCGCGGGGCCCGGCGCGCTCTGCTCCGGCGAGAGAAGGGCAGAAAATCAGCGTGTTAGCGCCGGGGAGCCTTCGGCAGGAGGAGCCCTGCCCGCAGAAACACGAGTCCCTGCTGGCTCCTGCCTGACTGCGTATCGCAACGGAAAGAGCGGAATATGTTTTTTCAGGAAAAAATCATCATAGATTCATCAAAGATATATCAATTCATATATGTCTACACACAGCTTACTCTAAGCATTTTTTAAAGTGGTAACGTGACAGGACAGAAAGGAACAACCATGCCTTAGAAATATTCGGAAACAAGTACTAGCAGCTATTAGCAAGCACACGCCAATAAAACAAAAGCAATTAGAGGAAGTTTTAGTGCCGCGCTCCTCTCCCCCAGCAGCTCTTGCTCGGCAGGCGCCACATCTGCGCTCAGGGAGGTCCCCCCAGGGGCTGTCACGCAGCTGGCACGGGGTTTAAACACCGTCCTCGCGCAGAGCGCGGCCGAGCCCCGGCGCCCATGAGGGCTGGGTGCCTGTTTGTGCCCACATCACCAGCTCGGGGGGGAGATTTCACCCTCTGTCCCCTCACTTTTCAGCGCCCGGTCCTGCTGGAGTTTCACATCATTCCCAGTAGTGCCGTACTCGCAGGCAGCCCTGGGTAACCAACCTGCAGATCTTAATTTAAGGCTCACCTGGGGAAGCGATTCCCAGCCCTGCAGCAGAGGCAATGGGGAAGTCCGGCGCCTCGGAGGAGTTTCTAACCTCATTTCTAAGGGATGCAGCCCAAACGTCAACCTTTTAAAGGGCTAACACCCCTCGCTAGCAAGGCTCTTTGCCAAGCAAGGCAAGACACCAGGAGCCTCAGGAAAGGGTCCCTCGCAAGGGCCGGGAACAAGCAGCATGCCTGGCTCCTCTCCGCTCTCCCTCTGTTTTAGTCCGTGCTCTTTGGAAGCCACGCTGTGATTTGTGCTTACGCTTTGCAGAGCACGCCGTGAGGAAAAGTCATGCCTGGATTTGGGGGATGCCCTGAAAACCAGCATCACCAGCGGCCCTGGCAAACACGTGCTGCCCCTCGGCACCCAGCAGCACTGCAGCAAGGGGCACGGGCGGCATTTGGGGCTCCCAGCCCACGCCGAAACCTCCCTCCAGCATGGACTTACGGGCTGGATTCACCCCGTTCGGCTCCAGGTGTCCCCAGAGGGACATCCCTTGGGGTGAGTAACTCAAGGCGCTCCGGTGGAGGCCTACACAGCGCGCAGGTGTAACACGGTGCCACGTTTTGAGCAGTTACTGAAACATCCGGCGACAGAAATCCTGCTCCCGGGCTCCTAACGAAAGCACGGCTTTTCCCAAGACAGTGCCCAAGCCTAAGCGGGTTACATCACTGCTTTCCTCTGTGTATTTTGGGTTTTGAGAGAATTAAGGGCAGCTGAACTCTTCCTAGGGCAAGTTCCCTTTCCCCAGCAGGCCCACGAGCGCTTCAGCAGGCAGGGAATGTTCCCCTGCCGCCACCCCAGGCCAAAGCTCCCCAGCGGAGGGGACAAGACCCAGGAGCTGCTGGAACATGGGCAGGAAAAGCCGCTCCAGTGGCATCCCAAGGGCCCCCTGGACAAGGCCTTTCCCTCTCCTTTTCCAGCACACTGTTTCATTTTCCACGCCTTTAATCCTCAGATGCTGGGAAAAGGCTCTGGWCCATCCTACAGGAATTAAGCCCTAAGTGCTCAGTGCTCTTACCTGATGTGTTTTGGTTGCCAACAAGCTGTTAAATATTTCAAGAGAAATCATGTTTTCTTCAGCTTAGGATTTGTAACCATCTCAAATGCAGAATGACACAATGCTGAGTAGTCAGCAACATCCTAGACTCCCAAAGCACCTCAAAAAATTAAATAAAACCCCCTATACGCTGCTGAAGAGCTCCAGCCTTCATGTCCTTAAGCAACATTAGGCTTTGCCTTTACAGTGGACACAGTCCTCAGGCTAACACGCGGTGAGAGCACTTCTGAGTCATGTTTGCCCTTGCTTTCCTAACTTAAAATCATTGCCATCTAAAAGGGGCCAAAGGGAGAAAAAAAATAAAATAAAAAAATATAAAAAACCAGCCCATTATTCAAGTCCATTATTCCTACCCTTTCTCTTTATTCACTGCAATGGATAAGAGAAACTGCAGAGCTCCAACACTGAGGGTGGTGGTAGTAAATTACAACAGCAGGTAATAAACCTGTACGTTAATTCTGTTCATTTAATCAGCCGCCTGCAGGCTGCCGACCTCCAAGGCTGCCGCCAACATCCCCGAGCCCTGAGGGGCCTTAAATAAAAACAGCCACAAAACCCCCCGGCTCCCCCCAGATCGCTCGGTGCCAAGGCCCCAGGCAATCAAAACTCAGCGCAATCCAGTGGCAGGTTTCGTTGTGTAATGCTGGAGATCAAGAGGAGAAACTTCAGAACACTAAAGAGACCCTGCGCTTCAAAAATACATAAATAAAAAGAACAAAAATACATAAAAAAAAAAACCAGGATTCTTCCTGCTTTCATCAATCCCAAGATATCGATATTAGAGTTTATCAGGGAGGTGTGTGGAGGGAATTAAAAGTTTACTTTGATTATCTCCCTTGTAAAGCTGTTAATGCTTCAACTCAAGGCATTTAGCTTTACGATGAAGTACTATAAAAAGTGCTTCCAGTAACATTTTTAAAGATCTCATAAACAAGGAGGAGAGGTTTTTACAGTAATGTCAGGCTTGCATATTACTTTACAAGCTTCCAGATCTTCATTTTGCTCAGCTCCCTTGGATCAGCAATTGGACCAACCCCACTAGGGCCCTGTAAAATCTTCTGCATCTTCACCTAACCCTCCCTTCTACACACAGTAGTTGGCTACAGCAAGTGGTGGGATTTAAAATGATGCTCTGTATACTCTGTTCTTAAACACAGACGTGGGTCTTCAGCAGGCTTCCCCCTCCTCTTCCTCCTGGCTCCCTCTAGTGCACCTCAGCACACACTGCCCTTCATGCCCTTACTCCAGGCATTCGCTGAGGTTCGCTGCTCTGCAGGACCTGCACAAGCTCTGCTCAGTCTTTATTCACCATATTATTCCTATATATTCCAGCACTCAGGCATCAATATTGGCTCCTCTACCAGAAATATGAAATGCTGTGTGTAGAAAACATTGCACAGAGGGGCCAGAATATTTAAAACTGTGTATGTCTTAAAGACGTCCATTAGCTCCATTCCTTCTTCCAAGACAGATCGCTGTATSCTTGTACCTCACCACACCAAACAAGAACTTAATCTCTAAACAGGGGCTTGTTAAAGCTCAGCAACTGAAAAAAAAATAAAATACAGATGTAAACATCCTATTTCATCCTATTGATTTCAAAAAATCATCCAAGGAATGTAATTTTACATGAGCTGCGTCCCAACGTAAATCAGAACTGAGAACTTCCCCAAACTGCTTYCAGCTCTGTTTGCTGGACCACTTCAATGGCTTAAGTTAAAAGAAAAAAAAAAAGAAAAAAAATCTTTTATTTGTAATTTTAGAATATGACAAACATTTAAAAATGTTTTATTATGTATTACAGCAAACATAAAAAAAATTTACAGTAAGAAAGGAAAAAAGGTTATAGATAAAAAGCCCTGACTGTAGCACGTTGGAAGGCAGCCCTCACATCACTTGCAGCACCTTTCTTCATTAGATTTCAAAATTTCTTCATAGGCATAAAAGCATTTACCTGTCAACTCCCATTTCTGGAACAGCCAAACACTGCTAACACTGTTCAGGTCTCTTCCAAATACCAAATTTCATCACTGCTTTCTATGTGGTTTCAGCAACCAATTTGCTTGACACCAGCCACAAGTCAGTAGGACACACGGGGTCCTGCATGTTAGGACATCTCCTTTGAGATGTCTTAAGATGTCTTGAGATGCCATGCGTCACACTCCCGTGAGGCACTTGCTGTGATACCCATCTTCACATGAGGAAACTGAATTAGCAGCAAGGAAAAAAAGAACACAAAAAAATGTTAAGTAACAGCAGTAGGTAAGAATTGTCATCGTGGATCAGGCTAAAGTTCCATCAAATTCACATCCAAGTACAGCTGACCCTAAACCCAAAGCATAAAAAGAAACATACATCAGTGTGTTTCCCAGCAATCAACACACGAGCAATTTCCTGAGGTTCTATCCAGAACCATCATGCTCATTAGCTACAACAGCTTCACACTTCTTAAAGATCAAAAGAGAATAACTATCACTGTTCTTGGGAAAAATTGAAATAATTTCTGCAGTACTTGTATACAGCAGATTGCTGCTTACTCTTAGGCCTGCGCAAAGAGCTCCGAGACAGCTCTTCTCCCTACATCTGCATCAAGACACCCACCTACTGCATTCCGGTTAGTTACTCTTTCAGGGCAGCAAAGACCAGAATTTACCCACAGAACCTTCTTATTTTCCAAGCCATCTCCTCTGATAAGAGAGGAAACACCATCAGAAAAGTCTGATGCAGAGGCAAGTCCTTGTGCTGATTAAGGAGAGGGCTCAGAACAAAAAAAAACAGGAGCTTCCAGTTGCTTTATGCATTTTTAGGTGAGCTGGGGAAAGCCACTGAAGTCTAAAGGGAAAAACTGAAGCCAAACCAGTGCTTATTAGGCTGAAAACAGGGTGAACTGCAGCAGCGAGA